AAAATGACATTCATCCCTCCAAGCGAAACGATTTTCATCCTCAATTTGATCTTTCGCCCTCGAGTTATTTATTTTATTAAATTGTCAAAAATGTTTGGCGTTCAAAGGCGTCATTAATCATTCTGATGAAAATATTTTCATAAGAAAATTGGAGAGTGTTTAACACTCAGAAATTGAAGTACGTTGTCAATAATCTTTCCACTTCAACAACATGCAACATGCACAAAATTTTAAAATCATATAAAATAAAATTCTTATCACGATTTCAAATATCTGAAACCAAATATGCTGTTCAGTAAAGACAGTAAACGCAAATCTGTTTGTCTGTTAACACCGTCATAAGATTTTCACATCCTTATGCATGGCACACATCCGATTTCCAACAACTGTTTGGTGGTTGTTGTAAAATTTGAATTGAAAGATATCTTTCCGCTGGGAATATCAACTCACACTCGAACATTTGTATAAATTTCATTCAAACAATTTCACAAATCGAAGCATCGAGGGCAAAAGAGAAAGTTTTGTGGCTTTTGTAATCTAAACAAATATTTGAAGAAAATCGAATTTTCACAACGATATCTTCTTACAATGGAAAATGATATCTCAACTGATCCATAATTTATATAAATTCTATGATATTTTCCAGCGAATATGCTTTTGATAAATGGCATTTACTCATCCTGAATATATTAAATTATTATTCCAACTTCTTCATCTTCTTACTTCATGTTGAACAGTTACAAACTTTTGACATTAATTGTACTTCGTTGCTGGAAGGCTTTCGATTTCAACTTGTCCTGATAAATATTCTTGATGTTAATAACGTAGAACTGTAAAATTTGCATGTTTTGTCATATTAAGGCAAATAAAAGTGAACAATCAGTTACTTCTTATCATCTTAAATAAAGACTTTCATAACTTTCTTCAACTTCTTAGATACATGTAGTGAGTAAAAAGCATTTCCCTTAAGGATTAACATCCGGATGTGTAAACATTGTCCGCCTATCTCTTCTCATAAAACTTTTTCTTAATATCTTACTTTGTGTCTGGAAGGAAAAGCTTTATGAAAATTGGTTTTCAAAATATTTAGGACTTTAAACAAATTGTGAAACAATGAAGAAGTTTTATAAGCTAGTGTTCTGTTGAATGAAAGATAAGAGAAAATATTTGGATAGTTTTTCATGTGGCTGCTGGAACCTTTCTTGCAAAATCTTCTCTGAAAGGGCTAATTTTATTACGTGCTTATTTTCCTAACTTATACACAAGCAAAACATCTTAATTTTGAAAACATTAATCTTCTAAATGTATTCAAAGGAAAATTCAAGTCAGGAGAATTCAAGTGGAAAAATATTCTGATAGTTTTAAGACACCGATGGCTTGAATAAAGAATCTTAACGAGTAAGTCCATTGTGGTGGAACTAAAAGTCATCAATCAAGATAACTGATTCAATTTTCGTCTATGGTTATACGTGAGTTGGAATTTCTCTTATCACACATTTCATGAAATATGATTTCAATTGTTTTCGTCTACATGATTAATGATTGCAAATGTTTTTTTCTTGGTTTTTTTTCCGACCCTTGGTCGGTAGACAGAAATGATCATTGTAATGGATCTGAAAGCATATGTAACGCTCACTTCTGCTCTATTACCTTAAATTAATATATTAATTAAGATACAAATGTTTAATTACCTTAAAACATGCCCATCCAATCTGTGGCGTTTACGGACTTTTCCATTTCCAACATCAGATTTTTCCCTCTTCTTTCATCTTCAGAACTTTTTCTCGGTTAATATATTTTCTATGAACCATTTAAGATTAACAAAACAACCACGATTACGACCATCAAAGACTTATCATAGCTTTGTTATAACATCATAAAAATAACCATAACTGCTATGCACAGCAACCCTCAAGATATTTAGAAAAAAAGTGAAGGAATTTTCCTTTTTCTAACCAAATAAAAGAGAAAAAATGTGGTGCAAAGGGGGATTGAGGATTACATCAGCAAGTGCTTATTTTTTATGGTAATTCTTTTCATTTTTTTCATCTCGCGATGAGAACAAAAAGAAAAGCCACAAAATTTTGATTTTATAATTTTTTTCATATGAATATAATTAAATTTTCATAGCATTCTAAAGTTATTTAAGTTTGAATCAACAGACTTCCGCTCTCTTGACTCCTATCTAAGATATCATGTTTCAAACTTCATTAAATCTCAGCATAAATGGATAATTTAGCGTGAAGTTCTTTGAGATTTAACTCGATTACAATTCGAAACGCTTGCGAAATTTTCCTCCAAAAACAAATTTTCATGACTTCTCGAAATCACGAGTGCTGTAAAACGTAAAAGAACATCTGATGGAAATATCATATGAAAATTTTATTACCTTAGTTTCTCGTGAAGAAGGATAAAAATGTAAATCCTACTAGAGAAATTTTCTGCACTTTAACTTTCCTGGCACGGAAAAAATAGCATCAGAGAGTTAAGTAAATGGCAGTACAATGAGAATGCGAAACATTTCGCGTTGATTCTGATTCTGCTACAACTAAAGCAGAGATAAGAGCTCAGAGAGATTTGCGTTGTCGTAGATTAAAATTAAATATACATGAGGATAAGTATCATCATGAAATCACAACGTCGAGTGGCTTTTTGCAGCTGGAATTATTCCGCCTTGAAAAGCGATTTGAATGAAGGTTTATGGATGGAACATTTAAAGAATTTAAAGGATTCGTTTTGAATATTTTTATGCAATCTTTATATTGTTGAATGAACTTTCTGTTTAAGTATTTAAACTTTAAAATAAATTGTTTTTCTTTAGAACAATTGCTAAGCAGCGACGATGTTTAACAAGATTCTTGTGTCAAAACAAATTAAAGACAAACACTCAATTTCGATCATTTAAGAAGAGGGTTGAGTGGAAAATTCTTGTCATAATAAATTCGGCGCCAAGATTCCTTTAAATTGATTAAAAAACTTTTTTGTTTCCCGCACTTCACTTGTTTATCTTGTTGTTGTCATTGAACGTAGAAAGAGAGAAGAATCTTCCAAAGTTTCAAGATAAAATTCGATTTGTGACGAAAACATCAATAAAAGAAAAATAATTGCGCAACAATAAAAATCATTTGACTTCCCTCTGTGTTCGGTGAAACTTTTGAGGCTTTTCTCACAATTGTTCGTGCTAAACAGAAGTCATCAATCAAGTCAGTCAAATCAATTTTCCCTCGTTTCATCTTTTGTTAAAAACATTTCTATTTAACTTTGCGATTCACGATTTTCTGATAACAATCGCGGTTGTTTGCTTATGTTCAGTTTGATTAATGCAAAGAAATTTTTCATTTCATTCTTCGATTTAATTGTTTGGAACTTGGAAGTTGAGTGAAAATTGTTTTGGTTTTAGTAGAAAATTTTCGTCGCAACGTTTAAGTTTTCCGGATTTTCCAAAAACCTCAGAAATTTTCGGCTGTTTCTAAATACTCTCAGCCCACCCACACACAATTTGCTGCAAACTGCTGCTGCTTGAGTGGACAAAATATTTATGATTTATCCTCAACGTTTAGAGATGATGATTACATTTTAATTAAAACGTGATGGCAAATTTTGTCACTGCAAAATGTTGCTGACCATTAAATGTCCGCTTTGGTGATGTGTCGTTTGCATAATTTTAGGGATGTTTCATGCGAAATTTGAGAGATAAAATGGGGGGAATGAAAATAATTTTCCAACCGAACCATACGGCACTCGAGTTGTGGTGAAAACTTAAAATCATCTGCTAATTTTGAAATGATTGTGATTCAGAATTGGTTCTCGAGCGAGTTTTCACTTGTTTTAGAGACATTTCGACATATTTATTCAAGATTCGTAATCATGCAGGTGAGTTGAATTAAGAATGTTATCGCACATTTCGATATTCATTAAGCTCGATTATAAATCATCGCCAGATCATATCGAGTGGGCATTCATACATTCAACAGTAAACTTTAGGGATGAAGATAAATGCTCTTAACCATTTAATGCGTTTATCTCTTTGAAATTTATGATTTCCGTCCATGCTCTACATGATTGTTGTAAAGTTGAACAAGTATCCCATTGAGTTAACAGCCCATCTCTATCACAACATAATATCATGGGGATGAATCCACCATCGCTGAACAAGCATGTGCAAGTGGAAGGAGAAAGTTTGCTGTGATAATTGGTAATTATTTTCGGATTTCCACACGATTGAACATTTTTTGTGGAGAGTTTGGAATGTTTGCTTCTTTTTCTGCATTCTCTTAACATAAATTTGGCAGTTCATGATAAATATTTGCAATCATTACAATACATTTTCAGTGAAAATTAAGAGAGAAAAAGAAAATTGTTTTCTCCTTTCAGGTTTAAAATAATCATTAAAAGGATAAATGAACAAAACTCCCGCATATTTATCTCAGCTCCTAAACCCTTGAAACGTCACAACATCTAATGAGAGTTGTTTGTTTTCGGTCTTTCACTGGTTATTTTTCGATTTCCTTGCCCTCTCCTTTGCTAACAATAACAAAGTCCTGATTTATGAGATTTGTGTTATCTGATCCAGCATGATTTTCCAACAAACCCCAAAATAATTTATTTGGCTTAAAATGAAACACGAAATATAAATTTTCTTAGTTCATCCCCCTCAAGGCTAACGACGAATAATTACAGGCAATCAAATTGAGAAATCATTTATTTTATTTAATGTCTTAATTAATGGAATGTGCATTGAAATTTATTTATTGCTATGCATTTTTTAAAGACGACTTAAAGTCAAATTCTATTTTTAAGGGTTCGTTGACTCGGTCAACAAAAATACTGAGAGACGAATAAGGAAGCAAAATTAAGTCGACATAAAAAATCACATTTCCGGTCGTCGGAGATTATCATTTTTTATATTTTTTTGCTATTATTTTTTCCGCATTTTATCCAATTTGATTCAATAAATTTTTTATTAACCGACGTTATTTGACAAAAGGTCAAATCACAACCGGAACAAGATAGAAAACAGAAACTCGATTTTATTTGCTTTTAATGGAAGTTGGCGGAAAGATCAGGAATGTCTGGAGATGTTTACCTTTCTTGTCATTATAAAAAAAGAGGCAGATCTATCTACCGACACTGACTCTTTCGCCTTCTCCCAAAAGAATTTAATATTAATGACTCTCTTGAGACAAACAAAAGTTTAATTCGTTCATGGAAAACCTTTTTCCAAACATTTTTCCTTTTCCTAACATAAATACTTCATGTGATGTTTATATTTACGACGATGTTTTGTTAAACTATTTTTATAAAACACATAATTCAAACTGATTAGGGTCAAGCAAGATGTGGATGTCTACCTAGGCTAGTTTTTGTTGAAAAAGGTAAACGATGTGAATGGGAAAGATTTTCTTTTATAATTTCTTATGAACATTTAATTCAATTCTCACTCGGATTTTGCATTAAAACAATTCAATCATCCATAGAAATAATTCCAATTTTACGGTGTTCATTCACGTAAGCGCTATTTTTATAAACTCATAAATATTCATAACGTCTTTGCAAGCAACAAAAATTTACAACATTTCATGCTTTTCTATGTCGCACGATATCAAATCCTTTGCTTGAGTGGAATTTTTCTATCGGTCATCGCTCAAATTTGTGTTTTTGCATTCCGCATCCGAGATTTTCTTTTGTACGAAATTTCATAAAAGTTATTAAATATTTAATCAGAGAGTTTTGTTAAATTTATGGAGCAATAAAAAAGAAAATTAACTGTGGATAAGGAAATGATTTACTAATGGAAGGTGTCTAAGTCGATTGACATTTAAAGTTCAACTTCAAGTGATGTGTTCATGTTCACCTTACAAATCGTTTTTGTAACTTTTAGCACATTATCGTCATTACAAAACATGGATATCTACTTAAATATCATTAAACTTCTACGTAAATATTCCATTATCTTCTTTGAATAAAAAGAAATAAAAAGAAACAGAAAGTTTGCAAAGCGTAAATAAAACGCCATAAAAATCACGACGTTATGCTTGCGGAACTTAACGCCAAAAACAGGAAACTCTCAAATATGACTTTATCATGAGAACCTTGCCCAAATATTTGAGTTGTAATTGAAACCTTTCCAGTCGTGACTTGAGTTTACGGTTTTCCTGTTTTCGTAGCGTAAATCTCTCACTCACAGCGTAAAAAGGAGGAAAAAGGTTGAGTTTAATGAGGTCTTGTTTGAAGCGGTAAACTTGTCACACTTTTCTCTGCTGATGAACAAAAAGGCTAATTTCATTTCTTGACTTAATTGTAATTTATATCACGAAATTTATTCATAAACTTCTCTCCATCCTCATGATTTCTTACAAACAAGTTTAATAAATCATAACGAGAAAGAAATTAAATTGTGAATATGAAAAAGGAAATGACAAATTGGTTTTTGATGTGAGGGTGGACATTAAAAGAAATCCTTCAACGTTGTGCTTGGACACAGGATGTTTTTCAAATTCATATCACATTAAGTTCATTCCGGTAGATTTGCTTGAATGATTGATGACAATAAACATTTCCATTCGACTTCAAGCAGTTTTGTCTGGTTACGACATGAGTAAAAATGTCAGCTAAAGAATGACGTAAAGACTTAACAGAAAATTTCATGAAATTATTTCCTTTATTTATTCAAAATTATCCTGGAGCGATTTTATCTCTTTTGTTTGCATCAATTCCAGCTCATTCATTAAACAAAAAATGACCCTTTTTATTTTAATTGCCCTTATTTACCGAACTCTCATTAGAATTTAGATTTACATTCCACAAAAAAATATTTCAAGCATCAGAATATGCGTAAACTAAAATAATTTTAGTAGATTTTAATGCCATGTGATTGATGAATATTTGATTTCATTTCAAATGAAATAATTGAAAATTCTTGTTACGTGTTTGTTTAGGCTTTTCAATCACATTTAATAGCATTGTTTAAAACATAATTTTTTATCTCTAACCACGCAATAAATTAGAACAAATATAAAGCACCCTGATGAGTCTTTCGTGGATATCAAAGAAACGTACAGTGGACTTTCACTGAATTATTGAAGGTTTTAGTTTTGTTTCTGCATTTGACAATCGAGAATTCCCTGTACACTCAATACATCCTTCTAGTAGCCAAAGAGTAGAGGAAAATATGCTCATATGGTTTCAGGATTTTCTTTAATGAAAAGTAAACAAGAAGATTTGTGTGTGGGTGAATTGAGTCTTCAGGTTGAGTTTTTGTGGGTGAGTTTAATGCATTTCTGAAATATTCATAAGGGAAATTTTCTAGTTTGATTATTCATTAAATGAATTTCTAAAAAATCTTTTTGAATTGTTTTTCTTTCATTGTCACATGAGAAATCGAATATCTCATTTAAAACAACTCAAATTGTATTTATTTCAACGAAAACTTTTCTTTTACATACACTTTTTGGTATTGTAAACAAATGAGTATCAAGGGAGAAATAAAAACTTTAATTTCAGTAGCAAACCAGAAGCTCTTCAAGAATAAAGAAAAGCAGCAACATTGAAAACTCATTTTCATGCTAGAGAAAATTTTATACGCGACAAAAATTATGTTTTGTTGTGAATTTGCATTTTCCATGTTTGTCACATTATTCGAATTTTGTTTAAGAGGTCGCTAAATATCGTGACCAAAACTAATTTAATTAACCAACATCTTAAAGGAAAGGAACTTCCGCATTTTCTTTCTCTTCGCTTCCCGCTGTTCTTGCTCTCGATTTTCGTAAAACATACGAAACCATAAATATTAATAGCCTTGTAAAAGCGTTACTTTTTGCTGGCTTAAATTTTACAAGTTGTGTGTTGGGTAAATTAACAACATTTTTATAGTTTCTGTCGCATGCTAAATTACTCTTAGCGGGACTGAAAATATTTATTTCGAAACTTTTTTTTAAGATTTGTATCAACTCCCTCCCGTTGTGCCTTGAAAATTTATTTTGCATAACAAGGCAGTTGTTAAGTTGCATTGTGAAGTTTTTATTTCTTGTAAATGATGCAAATATTTATGACAAATGGCAAAAAGTGGTCTGAATTGTAATTAGATTAAAGTTTGTAATAAATACAAAAAAATTCTTTCTTTTAGTTTCAAACACCTTTAAATGTCGAAGAACTCTCCACCAGCATTAGACGGTCTGAAAAGTATTAACATATTCACATGCAAATTTTCTGATACATCAATTCACTTTGATAACTTTCTGATTCCAGCAGAAATAAATTCAAAAGTTATTCATGTCTTCCAGAGAGAACGAAGGAAGATGACAAATGTGTATTCATTGCGAGGGTGATTTGGATATACGTAAGTAAGTATCACATTGATATTCACCCTTAGTTAAAAGTATTCGTTGGTCTCAGTTACACAATGTGAATTTGATGACCAAAAAACTATGATTCAATTAAGAGGATTACATTCCAACCCCAATATTTGATTTCCATCAGATCCTTTCATAAAGTAAGAAAAAGAAGTGAATAAAAGTTTAACGTCTTCTTTTGTCTTCAAGATGTCGTCAAGATGAATTGACATTAACAGTAAAATATTATATTCTACTTAAGTGGACATAAATGCGATGAGATAAAAAAGAAAGAAATTCGAAACACCCTCGGATGTCATTATAAAAGTGCAAAGTCAATAATATTTTATGACTTAAATATATTGACTTATCGGAGGATAAATGGGAGTTTGTTGAATTTTTTATTGATAAGAAATGTCATACAATATAGTTTTTCAATAAAGATGAATCACAAGAAGCAGCGACGTCCCACGAGACAAAACCAATCGGGCTAATTTTATCATTTCATTTTCTGCCAATCATCGCTTATTGTTTCAAGTTGAAAGTAATCAGAACACGGGTGCTTACCCGCTGACAGAACAGAAACAAAAGCAGAAAACATTTTATTCTCGTTATCTGCGGTCACATTTCAAACACACAAAAGTTACCACGCTGCGTTTACCATTCATTGAATTTTCCCTCTTGAATTTTTTTGAGTTCAGCATTTTTTCTTCATACAAATCTGGAAAATAAAGAGGCGAAACAAAGCATAACAGTTTTGTAATTAAATCAAAATTTTACGAGAATAAAAGAAATTTGTTGGGGGAGGTGGAAAATTTCGTTGTTTGTCCTGATAAGAGAATTGAAAAAAAAATAATTAAATTTTCTCGCTTTTCTCGTGAAGCATGATAAACAATTTTTTTACACGTAAATGAAAGAGTTACACAAGCTAATGGTGAGACAAAAGAAATTTTCAATAGAAATAAAAATGAAATTGTTAGAACCTGCCTCAGTTTGAGTCCACTGGTTACATGACGAACTTGAAAAGTCATTGCAAAAGATTTTTATCTTAAACCAGAGAATTTATTTGCATTGGTTTCCATTACGCAATATTTAAGATAAAAATCATCGACTGCCACGTGAACATTTCCATTAAAAATTATTGCTGATGAAGATTGTCGATGTAGTAGCAGCAGTAGGGTGTAGAGATGAATTTAAATAGGCTTATAAAATTGCATCAAGTCAATGAACATTAACAAAAGATTTTCGATTGATTTGAGCTGGTTTTACCAGCATTTAAAATTTGATTACTTTCGAGCTCTACGTGAGAATTTAGAACGTGACAATTTCCGAAGCAGACAAGTTTTCCTTGATCGATAATCCTAAAGAATAATTCGATTAAAATTATGATTAGCAAAATTACAAAAGTGAATTAAATTAAGTATCTAAGATGATGTATCGTCAACTTTCATTAAGCATTCGTCAACAGTCGCGTGTCATCTTGATTCTGTTTTGCACTAAACCAGATGATAAGATAAATATTAAAACGCCACTGACACGTTTTCTAACACATGAAACTCTGGAATTGTTATAAATCCAACTCTAATGTCACACAAAATTATTTTTTTTGGTTGCTGTTTTGATGTTGAATGAAGAAATGGAAGGGGATGACAATGAAGAGACCTAAACTAAAGTTAGAAAGCAAGAACCAACTAAAAACATTAAAAAGATTAAAATTTGTCGTCACATGCGTGTAATGCTCTGATTTCATTCTTTTAAAACTTTAAATTTTAATCTTCTTTTTTTAATATAAAAAAGTATTTGAAATTGGATGAAACTTAAAAACCGGAAGCATGAAAAATATTTCGCATGATGCATTCTCAAATATTTCGTTTAAATTATTGACAAAAAAGATCAAAAATTCCTTGCATTACTGTTTCAACATTTGAAAGAGTTTTTAAGTTGCTAATAATTTTTGTGGGAAATTTAAACATGAAAAAAGTGATCTGAGAAAGGGTGAAAATTAAATTACTTTCATTAAACTGGAGGGTGCAAAAACTGATGAGGAAGCTCCGAATTTAAGTGAACGTTTCATTTGATTTGTTTTTTATTTCAAAGGGTTTCGTTTTAAACTCAATTTTTGACTTTCACATAATTTTGTTGGAATCATTTTTCAATATTAATGGATCTGAAGCCGTTTAAATGTGTTTTAGGTAGAAGAAAAAAATAATTTAAAATTCTCAATGAAACGATTTAATATCAGATAATTTATCAAATGCTTTGCAATGCTGACGGATATACTTTTGAAATATTTTTATTACGTACACTTAAATATTTCAGATGACAGCCGATTGACAATCACAAAAGAATTTGTATCAAAAGATTCTTTTCCCATCTTACGTTATTAAAATCCTTGAAGCAAAATGAAATTGTCATAAATATGCGTATAATAAATTGAAATGATATGTGAAATGTCCGAGAAATTGCTTGGATACTTTGCTTTAATGCAGCATAAGAATGTTCAAAATCTCAGCAAATAATCTCTCTTGAGGCGATCTTATGGACTTTATTCACATTTCTCTGTTAATGTTGCTACGGAATGAAAGGAAATCTTTGGAAGGCTAATAAAATTTCTCAATTTTCTTCTTTCATCTGTGCAAAATACTCATGACCAAAGGGAAATTCTATAAACTCTTGAAATTCAAGCAATTTTCGAAACTATTTTCAAGAAACTTTGCACAACACATGGCAGATATAAATTAAAATTAACTAAAATGCTTTTTGCTGTTCGACTTTATTATTACTTAAGATATTTTTATGTAAAATTGTCGTGAAATAAGCAGATTATGAATTTTCATGCAAAGTTAATTACCATAAATCTTATCATGGGTTTAAGCATAAGGAAGTTTAAAACTGTGAGTTAGTTTCGTTTATGAAGTCATAGTTCATCCCTGAGGCTTTCAAAGACCCTACAATTTATCTTTATCAACGATGTCCAACCCCTAAGTCGAAGGCTAGTGATATTTATAATCCCAACAAGAATGTTCTGATCTTAAATGTCGCTTTTGCTCAATGAAAACATTTTTGATGCTTTACTATTGTTCAATGTTTTATATCAAATTTTAGACGAATATCTTCGTATCTAAAATCTCTGTTCACAATTTCGAAAAGTGATTTTTATGATTTATTAAATTTCATTTTCTGTTGTAACTGAGTCACCAGCAAATGATAACATTTTAATTAAAACGTGACAGAGATTTTGTCACTCCATATGCTTCACTTCTCTCAAACCTTTTTCACTGACCATTTTAGAGAAATTTGTGAATCATTTAATTAAGCCTCAACATAGATGGAGAATCTGTTAACGAGTGTGGCGATGAAACATTTGCAAAATGTTATTTGAGATAAAAGTCACTGAAATGTAATGTTTGATTTCGACTTAACACTTTAACGAAAAGATGAAGGAAAAATAAATGTTTTAAGTGAATATTCATTCAGATATTAGCATAAATTCTGCTCATTTAAATCTCTTGGAAATAAGCTTCAAACTTTCAACATTTAGTTAAACACACAATAAATCATCAACAGATAATTTCAAGTGGCTATTCACAATGCTTTCAATAACCACGACAGCATCACAACATATATTCATAGTTAAATGCCCTGAACGATTTCATGTAGAATTATCTAACATCTCTCTTCCTCCATGAATAGAAAGGACAAACATTTTCGCTCCCTTTTGCTTTTCCAACCTCATCCCACATGTTTCCGGAAAATCGATTACAATGTTAACTAATGGGAATCGATTATGAACACTTTTTCACAATGAAGAGATGAAAAAGAACGAACAATGTTTGTACTTTTGAGTGGGTGGATGTTGAGGAAATTTACTGTTATAATTGGTAATTATTTCTTTGGTTTTTCAACTCAAGCACCGCTCTTGTGAACTCAATTGAATGCAATTCCACAGAAATGTGTTTAATTTAATCTGATTTATTGCTTACGGGGAAATTGAATTGATTTAGAAGTTTGAATTATTTTTTCTCATTCTCTTTTGATCAAAATGAACTTAACGATATCATTTCTTGATTAAAAATAGAATGATGAGTCAGATTCGATCGAAATCTTTATTTTTATCATCGTGTTACTTCATGTGTGAACATGATTAACATGAATGAGTTTATGTTTATTCAATCGACTGATAATAAGTTAATCATGTGTAAAGGAGATGATAAACATTTTCATAAATAATAAAGTTGTTATTCCCATCGATTTTACCCTTAAACGAGCTTCCATCTGAAATACTAAAAGAACCTTTAAAAAAAGGAAGTAAAAATCCATAAATACATTTTTCAACCTGCACAAGCAATCGATTAGTGAAGTGGGAGTTGGAGTAAACGACTCATAGATAAATGTGACAGAAAAAATAGCAAGCAAGCGATGCAGGCAGCGAAAAACACATTTTTTATTGCAGTTGCCAATTTCCCTTCGTTCGTTCTACCGTAATATCGTTAATTTCCTATTTGATGTCTCTGCTTCTTGCTTTCTACCTCACCAAATGTTTTTTTAATGTTCACTTTTCTCTTTTTTTGCGGGAAACATTATCAGATACTTTTTCCATACTCCGAAACTGTCAGGAGATAACTCTACAACTTCTGTTTAATGTTCATGAAAAATAATGTTTAAGCATAAATTGAAAATATTTTGTGACAAAAGACATTCAAATATGCTTATTAAGCAAATGAAATGTGAAAAATTATTTCATTTTCATGGTAAAATATTTTTTTTGGGGAAATTTATTGAACACTCGTTGATCCCCAATGAGTTGATTTTATCAATTAATTTATGATCGCACTTTGCGCTCTGCACGTTTGAAAAATCAGCCGCATAATCCAATAATTTCATTTACACAATCCCAATGCATTGCAAAATGATAGCCTTGAGTGCAGTAGCGAATGTTGTATTTATGATATCACGGATGATTTCATTTGCAATTGGAATTTTCAATCGTTGCTTGAGAGCTTAAACTTCATCCAGACACATAAATCGTGTGAAATGTTGCTGTAAAAAAACTTCAACTTGAGCGAAGTTCATTTGTTAATGATAATGTTTAACTTTCATTGTTAATTTACGACAAAGTAGGAGAAAGTTGAGTGTCTCGTTTCCTATTTTGCCTTTTAGATTCATTAAAAGTGTCACACATGACATAACATGTTACATATCTTAAAATGTTTTCAGATACGTGAAATTTCCATTTCTTGTCTTTGAATTTGAAGAAAATTTATGGAAGATAATAATGGAAAACGTTGATTTGGTGGATGACTCTACAAGTGATGTCACATAAGTATTTTAACATAAAGATTGCAACTTTATATCTTTACAATTCAACCCTTTTCTTTTAACTTTTCTTCCGTTCAAGTGAAAAACACTCAATTTCAATTAAAATACTGTCACGCAAGTTTTCTCTTAGGAAGAAACTTTGACACCTTTACTCACATATATGAAAAGCGACACATCTCAGAAGCGAAACAATTAAGAAGTTTGTGATACAATTGAATAAATCATTTTCACTTAGGTGCTTAAGTACATAAATATATCGTTAGCAAAGGGTTGATGTGTATAAATTAATGTTTTTATATGGAGAAAAGCTTACGTTTATGTGTCAAATATTTCAAAAACTTAATCATTTACAATATGCGTGCATTTAATTATTAAATTTTATTTTAATTAATGCACTAGTTAAGAACTTTCCTGTTTTGAATTAAATTTATTCCTTTTAACTTATTAAATTGAAATGATTACATCGAATGACTGCAAATTTATTTTTCCACTTGTAGATGTCACAAATTAAAGTCAAAATAAATCTGAAAGATTGAGAGTCTCAAGCAACCCAAACCACCACAAAATCAAGAAACATACAAATATAATAAATGTATCATCGACAAAATAACAAAAAGAAAAAAACCTTAACTAAATTATATTTACAACATTAAGAAAGATGTTGAGAAGAAACACATAAATATCGTTTTTCTTTTTTCTTTTCAAAGAATTTCCCAAGGAAAAAACGAAAACGTAATAAAGTTATTTTTCATCTTCCTTTTTAGTGGGTGGAAAGAAAACATTTTTCCCATCTCATGGATGGCATTTTTCTGTCTTCATCATCATGTTTCTTCGACTGCTTCTTTCACCCTGCAGTCGATAAATAATAATGTTGATATTTACTCTTTTCTTCAGCGATGTTTGGGGTGATTTAGCAGAATGGGGAACATTAGCAGAGCTAAAAGTTTATGAAATATGCGTTAGAAAGAACATTATCGTCAGCTATTTTCTTTCTGTTTAATATCGTATCGCTGGTGTGAAAACGGAATGTCTTTTTATGGATGGAGGGACGAATGACGATGATGATGTTGCGGATGTTATTCCAATGAAATAATCACAATGTTAAGAGAAAAAGGAAACATTAATCGCTTTGTAAACATACGTAAGAATGATCTTCAATAGTTCTTTTGTTTCTGGTCAAATCTTATGATATCACCACGGAAAATTGCGTGATAAGAGTTAATAAAGTCATTCGCAAGTAATTCTGTTTGGAACATACGTAAAGAGTTCCACAAACAGCTCCCAAGTGCGTCATTTCGATAAATTAACTGCCGTTTCATCTAATTTTCTGCAATGTAGTTGGAAAAGCCCGAAGCTGGTAACTCTCGAAAAAATTATGTTAACGACGCTTTGGAATCATCTCCCGTGAATCGTGAAGCGGAAAGAAGAGAAACTTCACCTGCTCGATAAGCAATATCAATAAAGTTTTATGGGGTTGGAAAGTTCATTGGCATTAAAGGAAATTATATCATCAGTTTTTCCTTTAGTTTCCATTTAACCTTTTTTTTCTACACAAATTTGTGGAAAGGATTGAAAGTTTGCAAAGTGTCAGAGCTCAGAGGAAAATCTAAACAAATATCCATCATAAACTATAACAACACCTGATGCCATAAACTCACATGGACAATACATCATAACATAAATTCCTATACATCATCATAACATATATCAAGCTCAAAAGGACATTCCCGGACTAATCTGGTGAAATTGTAACAAATTGGATGGAGTTGTAATATCACCGAATACAACTTTTCTAACGTTGCTGTTGAACATTTATTTTTATTTACTCAAATGTTGTTTCGTTTAGAAGGAATAATCCTTAAAATCTTGATAAACTGCTTTGGATTATCACGCAAAATAAAATGTCATGAAGTTGGAATTATTTTGCTACTCGATTTCTTTCAATTAGAAAGTTTTTGTCATCATGAAATATTCAAGGAAACTTCGAGTTCCTCAAGGAAACTTCAGAGAAAAAAACTATTTATTGACAAGAATTGTTGAAAGCAAAAGGGATATAGTTTCAAAGAAAATCATTAATTATTCAAGACGAAGAATTCAGAAGAAGTTTCACTTGGTAAAGACAAAAGAAAACTTTGTTTGATAAATTGGCTTAAGTGATAATGGCAAATTCATGTAACATGAAACTTCTCAGAGATGTCTTAATTTCTTAACCGCATGAAGTGTCCTTTCAATTAATGTCGACATAAAAGGGCAGTGAAAAGGTTTGAAGGTAGAGTGGGAAAAATTAATTCTTATTAAAGTATCATCGACATCAACCCAGCTTGTATGATCTTCCTGAAGAATTAATTACCTTTAAGTGGATGAATTGAATCGACTTCTATGTTAAGTAAGAAATTTTAAATTGCAAATGAAATGCGACACTTTCTCCCTTCAACTTATTCTACCTCTTGAAATTCTAAAGACATCTTCTTAACATTAACTCATGAAATATCGTTCAAGAGAAAGGTAACAGTTAGTAACGTATTTAGCATAAATAAAATCTTTTAATGTCTTTTATTCATGCTGAATAAATTATCCTAATTTGAGCAATATGAGACGCTTTTCAGCTTCATAAAAATCTCAAGAATTTTCTAATCCTTCAGCATGCCGTTGTAGCTTGAAATCTGAAATTACCCTCATCGTTTATTAACATTTTTAAGGATAAAAGCTTTGAATTGTTTCAAATAAAAAAGGCTTGAAGACACGAATGAACAGAAAAACTTCTTTTATTACTCACTCCTCCCACACAATCACAGCACATAAACAAAAAACGACACGATTGAGTGCTGTAAAATGTTAATTTAATTCTGAAACGATAGAAGAAAGTTTTTATTTTCACGTTTTCTTTTCCCCTCCAACAGTTTCCAACGCTGATTGTCATTTTTCTTGTCTCGAAACGTTTTTCTCTCTTTCTCGACAGATAATGATAATGTTGTTGTAAGCGGTTGAAAATCCCCCAAAATCCAAAACAGCTCATTCTCTCATCCGCCAACAAGAATAAGAATGAAGAAACGTGCAAAAAATAAGACAATAAATGAAGAGATTTAAAAACTCGATAAAACCATTGTCAGAACGAAAAAAACAAAGTTCTCGGCTAGATGTTGAATACACTCGCGTAAGGATAAAAGACAAGTTAAATAGACATTGTATAGCATTAAATGAGACTAATTTCTTATTTTAAGAGACAAATTTGTATTCATTTGTTATGAAACATTCGAGGGTGAGAACGAAGAAAATCGTGGTGGAAGAATTTGAGGATTTATCAAAAGTTTATCAAGCAATTAAGATCCACAAAAGCTAATTTAATTTTGTTAGTAATTTCTTTGGAAAATAAACATAAATACAACAGACCTGAATCAAATTATTCTTAAACTTCTTTGAAATGTTTTCAAGGCTCACAATATTTCTGTTTTATTTTTCCAAGATAGATTGACAATATCAACAACAAACAAAGCATTATCTTTTACTTAGAAGTTTCGAAACATTGTAAATAATAGAAAGAACTGACTCAATTCCAATCGTCACTAAAGAAAGCACAAAGTCAATAATATTTTATTGTTGAACATGTTAACTTGTCAGTGATTCTTTTTTATATATGAATTCAATATTTATTATCCGTAAGTGAGAAGCAAAATGGGAAAGAAACATTCTTAGGATTGATTTTGCTGAATGTTGAAATAATTCACTTGTTGTGAGCATAAAAAAATCAGTAACAAGATAAAAGATCCAAATAAATTATAAAAACTTTAAAACCATAATCAATACCACACTTTATAAACTCATCAACTTTTCAACTTCATGAGAAATATTTAAACAAATGAACAACATTTAAAATGAACTCAGAAGTCGGAATACTTAAAAGCTTTAAGTTTACAATTCTTGTTGTAATTTTAAATAATTGTAAAATTGAAATGGTAAATAATATGAAGCATTGTTTTTGTTTTAGGGTTTTGGAATTCTTATCGCACTTCCACATTAGTTAACATTTAAAACACTCGGAGACGATAAATTTTAGTGAAAGTTTTTCTTCTGGAATAATTACAAATAATTTCTGTATTGAAATCACGGAAGAGAGTCTACTCATGCAACAACTGTGAACAGAATCTTTTTTTTTCTCGAATTTATGGTCAGCATTCACAAAATGTATCCCAATCATAAAGTCATTTAATTTAAACTCAGAGTAGAAGGAAATTAAACGGAACTGAAATTTTCCAGTTTGAAAACAAACAACCGGAAACATTTCGACTTCAATTTCTTTCTTTTTTGTGAGTGTTTTATCTGACGAAAAGCTTACGATGAAGAACTTTGATTATGGGGGAGTTTTTATGAATGGTTTTACGTTATTTATGATTGTTAGAAATTACAATGGTAAATTCCAATGTTATTATTTGGTTTAACGAGTTTGATATGTGAAAATAATCCCAAGGAATTTTATTACCTAATTGAAAATGTTACAAAAAAACATCTTCTAATATTCAATGTATTTAAATAAAATATTGAAACAGATCGAGAGTCAGTCGTAAGCAAATCATGACATCATCGTTCTTTAAAGTCGAGCTTAACGAAATGCTAAAGATAGCAGTGACGAGGAAAAGAATTTTTTTGCATGTATTGGACAAGAAATATTTAATGCGATAAGAAAATAAACATCTTACAAGTGTTTCTCTCTTTCATTGAATGAATGAGCGAATAATTTAGTGAAATTCCTTAACACAGCTCTGATATCTGTGCGTGTATTAAATTAATTCACGATTTTATTTTATCAGCTGAAGCAGCTCTTTTTAGTTCTATTTTGACATTGTGTGGAGAAACATTCGTTTGAAGTTCAAGACGTAGTTCCACTTATCAGTATAAATACTCAATAAATAATTTTAAAGTAACATCAGAATGAAGTATTGAAATTGAAATATATGTAAACAAAATAAATATGTAATTGAATAACTCTCGTGATTTTTAGATTCCAAATAAAGTTTTCAACAAATTGTGAAACTTTCTGTGGATTTCAACGAAATAAATGGACACCATTTGGAACTCTAAACGAATGTCTTGTGGAGAATGTTGAAATAGAATCTCGAAATGACAAAATGTTAAGTGTTAAGACTTTTGGCCATCCCGATGATGATTTTGATACATTTACACCTGAGAGTGATGATTATGATAGTGATGACGAAGATTATTGTTATGACGTAAAATCATTTTACATTTATCGATCACCGGCTTGTCATTTTATTCCTCAAGGAATATCAAACAACTTTCGAAATTTAACGGTTTTGGTTCTTTCTTACACCGGTCTTAAGTCACTGACGAATGAAGACCTTAAGCCTTTTAAACAACTTCGGGGGTTGTATGTGGATAACAATCTCCTTGAAACATTGGAAACAGACCTCTTCATGTATAATCCAAAACTTCGAGAAATCAGCTTTAATGAGAACAAAATTAAACGAATTGCATTTAACATTCTTGACAAACTGGTAATGCTTCAAAAAGCGGAATTTTATAGAAATCATTGCATTGATATGGGAGCAGAAACATTTCATCAACTTGAAAATCTTAAGCTTGTTTTGAAGAAGAAATTTAAACCAAGAAAACGAATTCTTGAGAATTTTGATGAGACTTTAGAATATTGCAAAGCACTTTACGAACATGAAGAATAAAAATGGGAACTTTAAATGACCAAATTTTTGTATTCATGATATTTAGAGCCGTAGAATTGAAAAAGTGATTGTTACGGTTCACAAAGTATTACAGTGACATCTAGTGTTCAGAAATTTTTTTTATTTGGATTAGATAGGCAGATTTAAAAAATTCGTTACTTTAACAAAATCATTTTGAAATTAATGAAGTAAGACTTTCTTTAGATCTCCTTAGTTTCTCCAAATAGGTAGAGTGAAAATGTTGAAGGATTTCTGTAGAAATGAATGATATCCCATCTAAATTTCTAACTAAATTGTACAATAAGTGTAAATAAATATGTCACTACTGCTATGAAATTTCTCACTCTCCACCTGAAACTGCACCCTCGGAAAGCAGTTTCAGGTGGACAGAGTGAGAAATCTACGGAATGACAAAATTATTCGGAATTGATGTGGTTTTTTATAATTACGCTTTGTATGAAAAATGAATTTCCGCGGAAAAATGCACGTAGTGTTGCCAGCGTTAGCCAGTGTTGTATTACAAATCTAGGACAAATTTTATAAAGTACTAGATCACTGTTTGTTTATTTACAGTGTTGCTTAGAAATTAAAAGTTGAAACAGTGAATCCTGAACTAAAGATAAATGTTATAAAAGCTTCATAAAAGGCCTAATAATCAAGTATAAACAACAAATTAGCTTGTGAACTATTATAATGCATGTTGAGTTCATAAATCGATTATGAAAAGTAATGTTAATTGTTTTAAGTGCTTGGCATTGTGTGTTCATATAAAGTTGTATTAATTGCGAAAGGTGATACTTATCCATTTGTACCACAATGCTTTTTTGAATTTCTTGTCGCATAGATGTCTAAATTTAACTCAAAACCTGAGTCGCAGTATTAAATGAAACATTAAATAACACATAAGTGATATAATTATCATTCATCCCTTTACTAACACGATTATCAAAAGTTAACAATGAGTGGAACCAGAAACCAAAAATTGGAGCATCAAGTAATTAATTGAATGTTATATTATTTATATAATTTTGGTTTTGACTTTTTCCTTCACCATGGAGAAAGAAAAAAAAATCGAAACTCCTTACAAAGCCTCACTTCTTCTTCTTCTTCTTCTTCACTCAATGTGGAATTATTTTGATTAAATCTAATCCATTTAGTAAAAAACATGTAAATCCATCATTACTTAAAATCTATTCTTTATTGTGTTATATTCGATTTATATATATTTACAATTTATCCAACAGAAGTCGATTCTTGAACAACAAATAAAACAAAAGCGACATCAAGCCCCACATATCCGAGCATCGGATTTACAAATATTACGTAGTGATGGAAATGGAAAAACAGTTCATGCCTACAATGGTAATTTTATTCTAGCTTTTATACATATTATTCCTTTAATTATTGCCTTAGAAAAATAAAAAGTCACCTTGTTTGATGTTGTGTGTTGCATGTATGTAATGACTATTGATTTTATTCTTTCAACTTAGGTCCAATGAACTTTATCAATAACGACCCGGATCATATAGAAGTACTCGAATCAAAACTAGCGTCAAGTAACAATGAAGATTTGGAAACAACAGTATTAGAAGGTAAAAAACGTTTGAATTCATTCAACAAAATTCACAAATTTATTTCTTGGGGTTTTTTTTTGTTTAGATAATTCTCGTATTTTGCATGACAGTGAAGATGAAGAGAGTTCGCCTATCGATGTTCTCACTAATCAGACACCAAATATTGAAAAATTAGAATACACAATCGATAATCAGCCAGATTCAGCAATAAGTATAAATAGGAAGAGTGTGAATAACTCTCACAGTAAAGATGAAGCAGAAGGTGACATTAATGGCAATATTGAGCAGTGGGTGTTGGAACCAGGGAAGCAACATGTTCTGTATAAGTGCAGGATAACTCGTGACCAAAAGGGAATGGATCGTGGTCTCTATCCAATCTATTATCTTCATCTTGAGCGCGACACAGGCAAAAAAGTCTTTCTTTTAGCTGGTAAATAATTAAACATTGTTCGGTAAACATGTTTATGATCATTTTCTTTCTCTATTTAGGTCGGAAACGAAAGAAAAGCAAAACATCGAATTATGTTATAAGTGCAGATCCTACTGATCTCAGTCGTCAAACTGATGGATTTGTGGGTAAACTCAGGTCAAACATACTCGGCACTTCTTTTTTTATGTACGATAATGGACTGAAGAACAATATCGAAACACCACGTTTGGACCTTGGCGTTGTGATTTATGTAAGTTTCTTTTTAAAACAAAAAATAAAAGTTCTTCATTGATTTCTTTTCCTTTTTTAAATAATTCAGGACACAAATATTTTAGGATTCAAAGGTAAAAGAAAAATTATAAAAAACTTTCAAGGAAATAGTAAAAATTGTAATTTTGTTCATTAAGGTCCTCGTAACATGACAGTTCTTATTCCGGGACTTGACGATGATGATCAGCGTGTCAAGATAAGTTCAGTAGATGACTCACAACAGGGAATATTGGATAGTTTCAAATCAAAAGTAAATAAAATGATCCATTTCTGTGGTTTTATATTGAATTTATTATTTATAATTTCAGAATATGGATAACGTTGTCGAGCTTCACAATAAAACACCAGTTTGGAATGATGAAACGCAGTCATATGTACTTAATTTTCATGGTCGAGTAACGAAAGCATCTGTGAAGAATTTCCAATTGATTCATGACTCAGATCCTGAATATATTGTAATGCAATTTGGACGAACAGCCGATGATATTTTCACAATGGATTTTCGATATCCTTTATGTGCATTACAAGCATTTCAAATAGCGCTCAGTAGTTTTGATGGAAAACTTGCTTGCGAATAAATATTTAGGAAAGATTTGAGAATTGCTCAAATTTTAGAAATCTCGATTGATTCAAATTACTGAAACAATTTACATTAGAACTCTGTTTATAGTTATTAGTTTACTTTTCAAACTATCTAATAGAAAAGCTTCACATTTGATCTGAAGAAATAGAATAATCGTAATTATTTTAAATTTAAAGTTTTGTGTGAAATAATCTCTTGATTCGTTAAGCAACTTTTCATTCCTTGTAACACTCAAATTAATTTTATGATGATAAAAGTTTCAAATTGGACCTTTCAAGAAATTTTAGTTCTTAAAATTATTAAATTGAAATGTTTTCTCAGCTTAAGGCTTAAGTCAATTTGAAAGTCAGTGAAATATTAAATCATTGACTATAATATTGGAAAGTGTCTAAAGAATGCAACGAATAAAAAAAAAGAAATTAGAATCGAACAATAAAATAAAAATTAAAGCTGAAATATTTTTTATTATTTTTATTACCTAATTCTTTAATTTCAGTTTCAATTCTTTAAATATGTTGCGTAGACAATTTCTATGATTTCTATCGACAATAGTTTCCTCCTTACCCTTTAGTTGCCATAATTACAGTAAAATTAACATCATAGAACGTGATTTTTGTCATTTTCATGAGCATTTTCTTAACACGAAAAATGTGAACAAGAATCATATGATACTTGGTGAAATTTAAAATGACGTCACTTCAATCAACATGGAATTAATAATAATTTATAAATTATCCCATGGATTTTCACTCAAATAACATCGGATATGTTATTTTATTCAATAAAGTGCATCAAAAAGTTACAAATGTAGAAATAAGTCGTAAATATGGACACCATTTGATGGTCGTACTAAAAAATGTACTCAATTTGCTTGATTTTTCACAAATTGACCAGACCACTTCATTTCAAACTACTGACTAATAATTTATCGTCTCTCGCCAATAAACGTTTGATAAGAAGCTGCCTAGCCAAAATCACTAAACAATTATAAATTATTGTTTGAAATTTAGTTTTTATATTTCTTTACATATTTTACGAGAGATTTTTTTCACACATTAATTATGATTAATGAACATACAACTGATCCACCTACAGGTTGCTTATTTTCCGGAAGGAAACTTTCGATATACAAATGTCACAAATGAATTAAACTAGCCAAAAATAGATTTAATTAACGTGTGCATAAGATGAACAGATGCAGTTTAGTTTCATAATGAAAACATCATTTCGTTCTGAGGATAAATAAGAATAAGGGAAATTAATTAAAAGAATCTTTGTTGGTATGATGACAGTTGAAAACGTTGAAAGGCCATCACGCTAGTTTGTTCACATGTTGAGCTAGTTGAACACATGTTGCTCTAAAGAAAACCTTGAACGTTGTCTGGTGCTATTGTCAATAACAAAGAATTTCTGCTTCACCCATATGCAGCAAACAACGCACGATCTCATTTTATTTAAATATGTTTTTGGTTCCTAAGCATAAACTACGATGAGAGTAAACAATTTGCAGCATACAAAAACAAAGAATTTGTAAATATTTCAGACTCGACACATTTTCCGTTCTTCTTCAGTCTTAAATTGTTTGTAAGATTCGTCTTTTATGCGTTATTTACAAATCTACATCGTTGTCTGTTGATTTTCTTTATCTCGATTCCTTATGTTACAAATTATGAAGTGTGCTGAATCATTTCACTATAATTCAATGCAAACAAAAAGATTTCATTCATTTTGCGCAATTTCAATTGGTAAATGTCATTATTTCATTAAAAAGATAGAAGTCGAGAGCATTGAGCAGTTCTTAAAGTCAGTTTTGCTTTCTTCTTTCGTCTCACTAAACGAAGAATCAAAATTCATTTATTAGCGATGCAACACCATGAACAGAAATTTAAGGAATAAAATTTAGAACAACACAAAACATGAAAACATTCACAAATCTCTCAAAACTTTCATTCTGTTGTGCGTGAATTGTTGTTGAGATCATGTTTGGCTTCTCGACACAACATCGATCGCTGTTTTCATTTTCTCTTTTTCTCTTTTCTGTGTCTCGATCGCTTCACNAAAATTTTTTAAATATTTTAATTTAAGTTTATTTTGAATGTCGACCTGTAATTGACGAAGATTTGTTCACCAGCAATTATTCTTCTAATAACCGTGAAGACACATTTGTTGTCAACGAAAGTCACATAAATATTCGGATCACATGAGTGATTTACAAGAGCCACAAATGGAAGCAACAAACCACCTTCAGGTAAATTTGTTCCTTTTCCTGGAAGTTTTGTTCCATTTCTCATGTAAATGAGAATTAATCGAGTAATGAAGGAAACGAAAAAGTTTCTTCGTGGTCCATCAGGAAGACTCATAGTGCTTGTTAAGTAACCTTCAACGCCACAATCTGTCTTTGGCATTAATGAACACAAAGTTACTAAAATTATTTCCTTCAGTTCTTTATCAGTTTTCCCTCGTAAATCGAAATCAAAAATTGTTTTTCCTTTTGAAGATTCAACAAGTTTCTGCAATTCATTGTAGCTTCCTGCAATTGCTAATGATTCACTCATAATGCGAAGCATTTTTTGCTTAATTTCATTCCCACTCAAACTGTCTCTGATGAGTTCATTTCTACAATTGAACTTCTTATAAGCAAATTTGAAGCATTCTTTTGAGCAAAACATTACTGAAGCTGAACTTGGAATCAAATCAAGCAGATTTGACTTCAGACAGTTGAAACATTTCGTGAAAAGTGTTTTTGGGCTGAAGAAATTCAAACAAGATTCTTCAATTGCAATCACATCACCAGCCATCAAATCTTCATTCGTTATTATGTGCTTTCCAAATTTTTCGTCTTCTTTCATTTCCAAGCTTTTAATGATGAATGGAAGCTTTTCATTTGCTGGATAAGAAAGTTTAAAAAAGGCCCAAAGATCGCTTTCCTTGTTCTCATCCATCAATTTCTTACATTCCATTTCTCGATCGTTCAAACCTTTGTTGTCTTTTTCAAAGCCATGCTCCTTTGCAGCTTCGATGTTAGTCAAACAATTTTGATACTCTCGCATCTCAAAATAAATCTCCGATCGAACAGCAAAACTTTCACACATCACCAGCGATCCTGGTTCCGCCAAGCATAAACTTTTATTGATCGCTTTCAAAGCTTCATAGAAATTTCCTTCTTTCAACATTTCACTTCCTTCTTGACAGAACTTTGAAGCTTGTTCATTCGATTTTGCACGAAACATGATTTAAATTCTTCAATTGATGATTCGTTTGATTTATTTTTAGCAACAATTGGTATCGAGTGGCGTGTACGAACTATGAGAAGTTTCGGATGTGACTGATCTAAATAAAAGTATGATTATAATGAGAACTTGAAGAATGTTTAAAATGTTTAATGGTAGCACGGATAGAAAAACGTTTTGCTAATCACAAATCTCAGATGAAATATTTCATTTGAAGCATTAATGTGCAGTTTAGCAGGCCGTCACTTTACATAACAATTAAATCTTAAAATAAATGTCGAGTGCAGTGAACATGGTTATAGATGAGTCTAACTGATAGAGTCAGCTAAGTAAATGCAAATACAAAAGAATAATGAGATGAGTTCACTCAAGCTTTTATTCTTCTGTCGGAACATTTCAGTGCTGATTCAGTTCTGTCTTTCAACTATGAATTTAAATATTTGACAACTCATAAATTCAAAGCGTTTTGTATTTTATTTCAACAAGGTATAATTAATGTAATTATGTTTTAAAACATGCTAGAAAGATTCTAAACAACTCAAAGCGTTTTCAAATGTTGTCATTAAAAACATGTCGAAATTTACTCTTTCATTTAATTTTTCGGTTTCACTTAAGTTAATTTCATTAAGCACAATAAGTCGTGTCAATGTTTCATAAAATTTAGATTCATTGCTCTTCATTTTGAAGCATTTTCTCTGTTGCCTTGTCAAGTTCAGGGTTTCCTCAATGATTTCTTGCTTTCTTAATCGATCTGTCTCAATATATTCATCACAGTTGATGGTCATGTTGTCATTAATTGATCTTAAAGGAATCTGAACATCAACCAATTTGTTATCAACAGCGAATTTATCAAAACATTTGCGTTCTGATTCATTCAAATTGTGCGATAAAAGACTATGGAAATCCTTACAGGAAAACAATAAAAAATTTCGTACAAGAATGTTAATTGTATCAATTTTACTACGATTAATTATTTCAGTTCTTTGATCATCCGATAAATCGTCTGAAACTTTTACAGCGAACAACATAAACAAAAATTTCTTTGCATTTATCAACTCTATTGTATTGTTGAGACATTCAGGGTTGAGATTCTTATTTTCATTAATCAGAAGTTTGATGAAATTTCTCAGAATTTCGTCACAAACGTTGACGTATTCTTGTCGGCGAAATTCTTTGATGAAAATATTTAATCCTTGAAGGTACGCAACCATGCAGTCACTGTAAAGCTGATCCTCTAAGTTAGTCTCGCTTTGCACTGAATAAATCAATGCTAAAGAAAGAAATGTTAATGAAATCCTGTGGAGGTTTTTAAACAAAACTGTTCAATTAATTTAATCATGAATCAAACGCAATCTACCTTAAAAACATCACGAAGTATCTCCTTTGCAATAAGATTTATTACTGAATGCCTGTCGTTTCAGCTCGATTTATATATAAATGAGGTTTCTTATCAACCATTTGCAAAAGTTCAAGTCAAGAGTGATAACGAATTTTTAAGAAAAATTAATATTATTCCTTACTTAACTTAAGTTTGTTGTGATCTTAACTAGGTGCTAAGATTGTGTAGAAAAAATTTGCATACTGGTTAATTATGCTGGAAAATTACTTTCATAAATATTCTGTCTGGAATTGAGCGATTCTTAAAATAATTTTTTCTTTCTTCTTTCGTCTCACTAAACGAAGAATCAAAATTCATTTATTACGATGCAACACCATGAACAGAAATTTAAGGAATAAAATTTAGAACAACACAAAACATGAAAACATTCACAAATCTCTCAAAACTTTCATTCTGTTGTGCGTGAATTGTTGTTGAGATCATGTTTGGCTCCTCGACACAACATCGATCGCTGTTTTCATTTTCTCTTTTTCTCTTTTCTGTGTCTCGATCGCTTCACAACGCTTCGCTTTCAAACACATTTTGAGAATATTTTCAGTTGTAATGAGACCCTTGAAAAGATCAGACGCGTCGCGAACTTCGACAGTGATAAAATTGAGAGAAATTGAATAAAATCAAGAACAAACACTTGACGATTTGAATCATCTTTGATTGCTGTTCGTTTGAGCTCGGACATGTGAGCGAACTTATTAGAATTGTGACGCTAAGAAAAATTGACAGCAAGCAAAACGTCGTGAAATGCGACACAAAAAGATTCATTGAAGACAATAAATCTTTCGAACGAACTAAAATAATTTTCCCGAAGGAAAATCGTCTTTGACATCCGGTGCTTGCTTAGACAGTTTTCATGTCGATTCGAAATAACAAATTATCGGTGCCAAAATATTGAAAAGTTTGATCAACAAACATAAAAATTTGTGAACATCACTAAAGTGAAAGAAAAGTTGAGTCGACTCCGTTTGATTTCCGATTAACTACGTGACGTGATTTCTGTGTTTGCTAGGCTTAGCTTTGTTTACTTGGATTAGCTTTGTTTGCATATGAACGCAGAATAACGACAACGACGAAGTTGACAAAGACGACGAAGAAAGACTTTAATTATTTATGCAAAAGTGATAGATAAACGAAAAGTGCAGTTTATGGTCAACGAATTATGAATTTTATTTGATTATGCGAAGTTAAAAGAACATGAGAAACATCAAAAAACGCAGTTGAGTAAATCGCACAAACTATTTTCTGTTACAAGTCAAATCAATGTAAACACAAACATGGATTATTGTGAGAAATGTTCGAGAAACGAGAATGTAAGTAAAACGATGAGAAATTCATAAAGTTTTCCTTTGATGCACACGCACACACACACGTGAAGAAATGTTTGATCAGAAAACCGCCAAAATGACTCAAAAACATTTCTTCATGTTTATATTAACGGAAAACTGCGGAATAATCTCAGACATTAAACAGAAACAAAACGCGATCTTCCCATTTTGAATTCAACTCGTTAGCCTCGGAACATTTTACTAAGCTAATCGCGTTTCGATGAACATCATTAAAGGATTTCCTTTCCTTGCTTTGAGTTTGGCTTCGTCTCGCTTTCCAATCACGGTTGATGTTTGTTTTACACTTTTGAGATAAGAAACAAATTTATTCTTCTACCTGGCGACTGACAAAAGTTGTGTTGATGATCTCAATCAAACGAAAGTTGTTAAAATTCATGACAGATCGTATTCGTTCATTTCCAATGAGATTCTCCGTCAAAGTTTCTTAAATTGCTATCAATCATCTCGCGCTCAAAAAATCAAGTTGAACTCAAGAGATTAAGAAGAAGCTCAGCTTTCGAAAACGCCACAACCAAATAGAATCAGTGAATATGTTTTTTGCGTTGGCTGACAATGATGAACTGAAAATCGACGACACATTCAAGTAAATTAGTCAAATGTCTTGATGTTTTTTCGTTCTTTTAATTGATCATAGCGCGTTATCAAATATAACGACCGAAAATGAGAGCAACAAGCGATTTACGAGAAGTTTACGCTAACATTATGACCTGATTAGTGACAAACAAGCGGAAAATTTCTTTGAGTCTGAATCACAAGAGCAGATTTTTGGAATATCATAAAAAGAGTTCAAGGAATTGTTTTTAAACTCGTTCCGATAATTCTTTTTTATTTTTAACGACATTTTTACACGACTCAATATTCATAGCTTAATTATCTAAATTGAATCTCTCATAGACATTCATTGACTATCAATTTGAACCTCCACCCTTGTTGCTTCGTTTTCTATTCATTTCGATATTCAAACATAAAATATTAATTAGAAATCAAAACTTCTTTATAATCTGATAATCTAAAGTTTATTCACATTGAATCTATTTTTAAAAACTTCAAATTTATAAAATATCGAAACTTTATGGAATAATCAAAATTAAATAAATAAAATTATTTATTGTCATTCATGAACTCGCCTTTGCCTTTGCTTAGTCTCCGATGTCCAAGTCAGTGAATTTAAGTTTTATGAGCATAGAAACATTTCTAGAATTTCTAATGAATCTCCATCGATATTCATGTGAAACTTCTCAACTTCGTTTATTATTTAATTATGTAATACAGAAGCTCACCTTTAACAAATTGAGTCGCTTCCTGTTGTGCTTTTTCAATTTTTATTGCGGTTTTATTGGCGCATGGAAACCGCAAATTAATAACACGTAACAAATGTTAACTCGTTGATTTCTACATCTTTCCAGATCATATCGAAAATGGATTCAAATGACCACCAACAAAGCTCTCGGAGTTTCAACAATTATCATCGGACACAAATCTGCAAATCATCCAACAATCGACACCACTTTTTAAGCTTTAAAATGAACTTTGCAACCTCGTCACTACTTCTAGTATTATTAGCAACAATAATTCAATTAAGTTCAGCATCGTCGCCATGTTTACATCGCGAGTATTGGGACATGGAAATGGATCAATGTGTGCCATGTTCCAAGTGCAATAAACATCAGATTGTCATTCGACCATGTCAACGACACATGGATACAGTCTGCAAGCCATTGAATTCCATCGAGATTGATTGGAGTAAATCTTTTGCTTCTGAGAAGCCAACAACTCATTTCCAGTCATCACAACTTGACAATTTGTCATCGAAATCTCACAAAAGTGCAAGCCAACTGAGTGAAGAAGAGATGATTTGGGATTGGGAATTGATTTCGTTAATTCTGGCGGTTGCTGCTTGTTTATTGTTCTTCGTTGGCACTGCTTTCATCTCCATCAACTACATCAGACAATGGAGGAAGATTAAGAAGCAATTTGACACAGGTGAGTGACGAAATTCTTGTCCGTTTCATTCTGACTGATCAATGATCGTCAATGAATTACGACATGCCATTGAGACACATTTAAATTCGAATTAAAATCCATTCAAAGATTTTCAGTTGTAATGACAATCATCGTCATCTGGCAGAGTCTTAAATATGCTAATAAAAGACGATTAAATTAATTTATTGGATGTTTCCATTAAAATCTATTTTATCGACCATTTTTATTGAATAATGTCATAAATTGATGTGAAGATGTTGTTGAATATTGGCAAGGAATTTGCCTGCTTGAACAAATTTAATCATTGAGTATGCTTAATCAATTAAGATCGCGACTTGCTTTTCCTTTTCCAATAAATATTAACGATTATCTCTCAAGTCTTTACATAAATATTCATGTGGAAATAACTTTGAATGAATAAACGAAAGAATTTCATTAGAAATATTTCAAATCAAGTTCGATGCGTGAAATGTTGTTGGAAGAAATGGAATGAGGGATCAGTTGAGGGATCTCACTAAACACATCAGATTAATGTTCATTGTGTCCGTAATTAAATAAAGAACTGACAGTTTCAATTTGTATGTGGCTTTGTCACTTCTATGGGCGATTCTTGTTAGAAATTAAATGTTCTTGAAGGAAAGGAAGTCCCCGTTTAAGTTCTTCCGTCAACAATATTCATTTCGGTTTATCGTTTAACAATCAAAGATTTACAAACCACCGAAAACCTTAACAAGTTATGGAGAAAAGAAATTCAATTTAATTGCACTTTGTCTTCACTTCTGAATGGCTTCAGCTCATAAATATTTCTACGTTCTGTTACATAATTCAATGGAAGGAAGTAAAATGATGTTAATTACCTCCTAATGTAACAAAAAACATTTTTCGTGTTGGAGACGGGAAATTCACTGACATCGAGACTTCAATTTGACGTTGTTTCGGTGGTAGAAGTTTGATTGAAGTCGGTGACATCGAAATATCAACAGAAAGTTTTAATTTTTGAGAATATTTTGCAAGATGCACTGCACGTTGCTAAAAGGTTTCGAGAGCGAGAAACATTTGTTGGCAAAATGGATGCATTTGGCAGTTGTCGAAAACATCTGATGATGAGACTTTTACGACCGAAAGTTCCCATTACGGATCTGTTCTGAAAATAAATAGAAATGAGAAGCGGCAAAAATCATTTTCAGATTTAGAGGAAATTTTCCTTCATGAGAATTTCTAGAGAAAAATATTTGCGAGGGAAACGCGGTGGAGTGAGAAAGATTGAAAGAGTTTTCATCGAAACTGTTTGTGCAATTAATTACGTGCTGACTTTTCATTAGCCGATCGTGGTCAAATTTATTCGTTTGATAAACTCAAGTTCATTTCTGATATTGAATTGTGAGTCAACTTCACTCCCACACATGTGTTGTTCATTATCTTAACGAGAAGCAAGACGATGTGGTTGAAGATCTGACTTAGAGGTGAATTGCATTTCGTTCCAACATTTTTCTTCTCTTTTTTGCACACAAAAACGCCCAAAAATCTCTCAAGTATCATGTCTTAGTTTTGTTTATGGTTGGATAGAAAACATGAACCCGAAACATTCATCATTCGACCTTCTGGTTCTCTTTTTCTTTCTTAAATATTTTTATTTGACAGTTTAAATTGAAGTCAGTCTTTAAATTTGTTTTTTTTTTCTTTTTTGAATGTTTGCAGACATCGAAGGATTATCGCAGCAACTTATGGCGCGTCTTGCAATGCCACCTCTTGAAACATCAACGATCTTCATCGATGATCCGTCCACTAAACGTAGCGCTCTAGGACCGAGACAAATCGAAGTACGTTGTGTTTATTTTGAAGATATTTTAGGTAAGCTTTGTTGTTTGTTGTTTGCTGTTTGTTCTATGTGACGTTGTGTGACGTGACGTCACTGGAAATGAAATGACTTAAACTTCTTCTTTATGAAGTCATTTTGAAATTGAGTTTGATTTATGGATTTGGGATTGGAAATTAACACATTAAGAAGAGAAGTTGATTGTGTTGTGGGAAAGAGTTTGCTTGTTGTTGATCTTCAATTGTTTAACTTCATTCAAGTCAGTGACATTAGATTGTCGATTGTAAATTGTGATTGTAAATCATTCCATTTAACAACGCTCAATGAGTTTTCACAATTTCATTTCGTGTACATAATTCAACTCATTGAGTCGCTTGTCTATGATTTGCTTCTTCAACGAGATCACTTTATGAGCTGCGGAGATTTAATTTTCCGCTGTTCGCTCTCGAAGTTAATGTAAACATATTTTATTTATTGCACGGTTTTATCTTCCTTTATAAATATGAATGTGAATGAAGCTATTAATAATTAAAGAATGCTCAGGTTTTCAATTTGTTTTTGCTTACTAAACAAAAATCTTGGGGAAAATAACAAAAAGAAAATCGAATAAAATTCCTTTGCATCATTTTTGAAGAGTTGCTTGAAAATCTGTATTGTTTGTGAATTATTTCAATCACGTCTTGAATATTAATTCGTTGCCAACAATTCTAATTTATAAAAAAAAATCATCGGAACATTGAAATTTTGGGATTCCTTGAAAGCCGGTTTTGCATTAGCGAAATTCTGGGAAGAGATTAATTTGTATTGAAATTCACATCTGTGACACTGATAAAGCAGTCAACTAATTTATGTAAATATTTTTCAGATGGAAAGGAATGCTTAAAAAACCCACAGGAGTCACACAAGGCGATTGTGTCAAAAGGTCCAAACGGAAATGTTTACATCAAAGATCACGAGAAACAGCAGCATCATGTAAGCTCAGGGCACAAGCCCGTTTAAAACGAAAGCAGTTGTTTTACTTAATTACTTTTAAAAACCAAATATGATATATGCGAAGAAGAAGCAAACGTGAAATATAATGAGATCCATCATCTGCTTCTAATCCTAACAGAAACTTAGTTGATCATGAACCAGATGGTTGTGTAAATGTAATTACTTGTACAAATAATCTGATTCTTGTAAACTTCGAGAGTCGTGAAAATAATTAAGAGAAACCTACAGATAGAAAGTTTATAACTTTCGAATGTTTATTGGACCTTATCTGAAATTCAGGATTGTAATTTAATCATTCTTTAATAATCATAACATAAAACTATAATCACGTTGATGATTGACATACCTAATGTTGTTGAATGAAAATATTTTAATTATTTAAGTAAAAACATGTAAATAAAGAAGAGAATAAAATCATTGAAAGTTGATGAAGTTTTTAATTGCTTAGAACTAAAGAAATATTTCAGAGAAATGTGTTAGCAGCTGTTTGAACAACTAGAAATGGATACGTTGAAACGTAATTTCATTGAATCTGTGCCAAAGTCCCATTCACGATTTAAGTGCAACTTCAAACATTTGGCTCATTAGACGAGACAATTGCATTTATTCTCTTACAATTATTATAAACCGTCAACAATTACACTTCAACCATGTAAGACGCAATAGAAAAGACGTTAAAATGGAAAATCTATTAGCTATTGAAATAAAAATGCTAAAAGAGTTTGAAAAGCAAAATTTTCATGCCTCATTAAAATTCTGAACAACGAGAAACTATTTTTGGCTTGTTTTTAAGTATCTGACGACAATGTTTGAAGCTTAAAACATTTCGAAGGCAAATCGAAATTTGATTTTCCAATTCAAATGTGTTGAGAATGTTTAATCGATTTGTTGATATTTTCAATAAGTTTTTATTGCTTGATTTCATTAAAATTTGTTGTTTCTTCATTTGGAGGCGTATGGTAAACCATAAAATTCTTTTCTACTCACTAAACTTAATTATAATATATTCAGAAAGAAACATTACGGTTATTGAAACATTATATTGTAATGAAACTAAATACCGATCATTCTTTCTACCTAAGGAGTGTCGTCAATCGTCATAAAAAGTCTCAAGATATGGAAATGGTTGATGCTTGTGTTTAATAAAAAATGACAAATGTTTAAAAGCTGCCAAATAAAAATACATTTGATCACTGATACAAGTTGAATAATGAAATAATTTTACCAAAAAACTTCTTAAATAAAATTATTGACAAGATTCAATTTTAACTGATAAAATTTGGAACAATTCGATACGAAGAGAAATCTAAAAATTTCTTAAGAGTTTGGCTAAAAAATGTGGGCGGAAATCGCTTCGTTTCAAACATTTTTGTCGGTAATTTGATAGTTTTTAAGGTTTGACACGGAAAACAAGAAGCGTGAACTGTGTGGTTCGTGTCAGTCAACTCTAATGAGGTCGTCAATGTAGAAGGAAGAGAAAAGTTGTTAGATTATGAGTTTCCGCTTCTTCTATCTGAATAGCGAAACATTTTCAATGAATAAAGATTCTTTATGCAAGTAAGTATTCAAACTGCATCTGTTCATTCATGATTTTTGATAAAATCTCGTACATTCTACTTTTGACTTATTTACATAAACTTTCCATTCGCTTGAATTATTTTTCCTTCTTTCGTGTGTAGCACTTCCTTCCTGCCCCGAGACACCCCGCGAACGGCACAAGCCACAATTCAAGAGAAATAACACTTAATAACCGAATCATGTTTCCAACATATCGTCAACGACACATCAGAAATAATTTTCTCTTGTTGTAATCACGTGTTGATGGAAAAAGACTTAAAAACTTTCAAATTTCCTATCTCATAAATGAAAATTTGTTACAGTCTTGAAGGTAATTTCAACATTTTTTTAACCGAGCGAGAAAAAAAGATGTGGAGAAATACTTTTTATGGTTTATTTTTAAAACAAACACGTGCTACATGTTGATGTATGAATGCAGTTACGCATGCGATGAAACGAAGAAGCTTCTGATTATGATTCTGAGTAGAAGTCAAACATTGAAATTGAGAGAGAAAAACCAAAGACAAAGGATGAAGTTTCTCGTTTCTCGGTTTATTTTCTAACTCAATCAAAGGATGTTCGTTGTTGAAAATCCGCTTTGACTATGCCAGGCAAGAAACTTCAAAAATAATCGAGATCAAGAGATCAAAGAAAGTTGAAGCGACTCGTAAAACTCTCATAATTTCTTTATTGGATTAACTCGAAATGTTTCTAATGTTACCATAATCTAAACTGTCGGTGGTAGCTTTGATCTACTGCTTTTAGAAATTCTCTTGTGGGAAAATATATTCATCCTAATTTCGATGTTTTCAAGTAGCAATTTGTTATCGCAATGAATTTGTTTTTATCTCAATCTACATGAATGCTGACGCACCTAAAATGAGTCTTTCACATGATTTAATAAACGAGTCAAAGATCGTGACTTATTCCAGACACATTACATATCGCTTCGAGTCTAAGGGAGTCTAAATATAGCAATTCCATTTGCTTCGACCGATTTAAATTAAGAAACAAGAAGCATCAACTGGAAATTTGTATTTTTCAGTTCGTAAATGATTCTTTTTATAGATATTTTTGTTTATATTTCATTCTCTCGAAGAATACGCTTGAGCTCGTTCACCGTAAGTAAATGCACTTGATTTCTTTTAATTTTAATGGTAATTCGTTTTCAGTTTATTTTCAATTGCGTCTTTTCAAGTTAAAATTTCTTTTTTTCAGAAAATTGATTTACATTCGTGTACCTTGTCTTGAAATTGAAAAACTCTTTCATTGAAACGATGCTAATTTTAGTTGAATTTTAAAAATAAAGCACACATTACGTTTCAGATCTCAACAGTCATCGTAAGATTCATGAAACCAGATGTTCATGTGTTTAGATAAACTTTGAAACTGAATCTAATCAAAACATTCAACCTCGCTCCCCTCGGTTTTGTATTTTTTTTAATTATTTGCCTTGCAAAAAATTATATTTACCGCTTCAAATGCTTCAGCTTCAACTTTTTTCCCTCTGACATGAATCATGTAAATCATGTATGTTGTGAAAAGGAATCTAAAATTAACTCTCGACATAAATAAATAAGACTAAAAAGATAAATGCTCATGATGCAAGAAGTTGATTTGCATAACGTTTCAATGACACTTTTCACATGAGGTTTCCATAAAACTTCTCAAACTGCTGACAAGAAGCCATGAATATTTCGATTTAACTTAAAATTTTTTAACTTCCAAAATGGAGATAAATGTGGCAAGCAAAAGTTTATGAATTTCGTTAAATGTTTACACGAGTCTCGTGTGTAAAACAATTTAAATATTTGCTGTTAAAATAAAATAAATCAATCATTTCAGTGAAATGTCATCCTACATGCTGTCAAATAAATTTTTCAACATTGACGCTGAATAAATTTTGCAGCTTTAAAAAGAAATCTTCAGATATCAGCACTTCATTCCTTACTGAAAGCTAACTTGGTTTGTAACAAATGTATCGAATAATAATTTTAATTTCATATTTTATCATGGCTAAAGCAAAGTCTGTGACGAATTCTTCATTAAAAGAATCATCAGAAAAGATTGTCGGCGGTCATAAAATATCAATTGAAGAAGTTCCTTATCAAGTTGCTTTGCTTTACAAAAATGAAATGATTTGTGGTGGTTCAATCATCTCGGAATTGTTCATTCTTTCAGCAGCTCACTGTGTGTTTCATGCCAAAGAATATCCCAGCAGCTTTAAGGTGAGAGCGGGATCAGACGATTGGAATAGAAGTGGAGTTGTTATTAAAGTTAAGCAGATATTCGTTCATAAAAAATATGACAAAGTGAAAGCTGATTACGATTTCTCACTCCTGAAACTCAATTCGAAGTTGAAATATTCAGAAAAAATTCAATCAATTAACTTACCACATGAAAACGAGTCAGTTGAAGATGGCGCAGAATGCACAGTCACTGGTTGGGGTTCAATTGGAAATGAAGTTTATCCTGATAATCTTCATGCAGTTCATGTTTATAAAATTAATTATTCAAAGTGTGAAGATGTTTATGGTCAGTTTCTGTTAACTAAAAGGATGCTTTGTGCTGGTGTTCCAGATGGATATAAAGATGCATGTCAAGGTATGATAACTTGAATGAAAATCAAATTAATCAGAAATTTAATTCACATTCAGGTGACAGTGGAGGTCCATTAGCAACTAATAATACTCTCGTTGGCATAGTTTCCTGGGGAAACGGATGTGGCGTTCCAGATTTTCCTGGCGTTTATTCTCGTGTAGCGTCAGTTAGAAAATGGATCGCAGAACACGCTCACGTATAATTAAAAACATAACAAATAAAAATATTTTGAATTGAAATCAGTCAATTGCATTTTTATCGTCAGTAGGTTTCTAGTTTTAGTCTTCAACGACTACTTGAAACATGTGCTAAAAGGTGCATCTAAGTACATAATTTTTTTTTGTAAACCAGCGCTGCAAACATTAATAATCTCATTTGATAAGAAGTGTGCTGATACTTGTTATCAATGACCTCCCACTCATCAAATTACATGGTCGTCGGTCGTCGCATAACCGGGAAATAATGTCAATGAGTAATTGTTTGATCAGGAAATCAATTAAACAAAAATATCAAAGGAATTCAAAAGTCTGGGGACGATGATAAGACTTATCCGTAATAAGGCTTATTTGCCTTACCTTGTTCGCATTATGACCGATAAAAAATTTATCATTCGCATGTTTGAAGGCGAGAAATGGTGGAAACTTATCTTCATCTGGTTTATTATCAGTTCTAGTTAAGAAACTACCAATGCAATCTTGATAAGAGATTTCACTATAAAACATTTCTGATCGTTAATTATCTGATTCAGAATTGACTCAACAGTGAGAACGAAAAGTGAGAACTCAAAAGTGAAAGAAGTGAAATCAAAAGTTAAAATGTTTCGAATAATTTTGTTAACATTCTTCATTCCCATCATCATCGCCAATCCATTGATTCGTCCAATGCGTCCATTAATCCCTCCAAGATTCATTCCAACAAGCACAGGAAAGATCGTTGGAGGTCTGCCAATTGCCATCGAAGTCGCACCATTTCAAATTTCCTTGCAAATTTCAAACTTTCATATTTGTGGAGGGTCAATTATCTCAGAGAATTTCGTTCTCACTGCTGGTCACTGCACACAGGGAAATTCAGCATCAAGTCTTCAAGTCAGAGTTGGATCTGAATTCTACAATTTGGGTGGAACTGTCGTCAGAGTATCCGAAATTATTCAACATGAAATGTTTGATTACTTCACAATTGATTACGACTTCTCATTGTTGAAATTGGAAACTGCATTGACGTTCACTTCAAAAATTCAACCAGTAGCATTGCCAGCTCAAAATGAATCACTTCCAGTTGGTTCAATGTGCAAAGTTTCCGGTTGGGGTAACACACAAAGCTTTTATGAACCCAGAAATCCAATGCGTGGAGCTTGTGTCCCAACAGTGGCACAAAATGAATGCGAGAAAGCTTATCAAAGCTTTGGTGGAATAACAGACAGAATGATTTGTGCTGGATACGTAACTGGTCAAGTTGATGCTTGCCAAGGTGAGATTTAATTAAAGTTTATGAATTTAAATGATGTTTAATAAGTTTTGTTCTTCTTCAGGTGACAGCGGCGGTCCTTTGGTGTCAAGTGACAAACTTGTTGGTGTAGTGTCATGGGGATACGGATGTGCCAAGCCTGGCTACCCAGGAGTTTACTCCCGTGTTGCTTCAGTCAGAGATTGGATTAAAACCAAGTCAGGTGTCTAAATAATTTTCCTAATTAATCTCTTTAATGACCTCAATAAAAATATTACAAAATAAAATTTTGTTACTTTATAAAAATATTTTATTTACATTTACAAACATTTTACGATCTTGACAAAGTTAAGTAAATTATCTAAGTAACATTTAAGACTACCATTTGCACTTCATCGTAGCTTGTGACATTTAAAGTGTCAAATAAGCGTTTACGTCATGGAAAATCTTCAAAGTTTCAGACTCGACTGTTCTTCCTTGATCCAAAGAATTTCGTCCTTTGCTGTTTCTCGTGATCTTTGATGTAAACATTTCCAGGAGGTTGTTTGTGAGCTTCTGATATGCCAGTTGATGGATGTTTTATTGATTCCTTTCCATCTGCAAGAAGAAATTTGAAATAATTCATTGCCGAATAGAAAAATGATGAAAAAATTTCTGAGGTTGATCATGATTGGATGAAAATTTTTTGCTATTATTCATTTAGCCTTTCATTACTCAATACATTCTGATAAATTAGGTAATAGAATTAAACAACGAATTAAAAGAGCTGATAAGATTATAAATATCCTTAGATGTCTTCTTACGATAAGTTTCTTTCTTATCTTATCTCAAAAATATTTGAAATATTATCAAGGCTTTAAGATAAAAATATTTGCTACACATTAAGTAATTAATAATCACTGAATACATGAAATATACTTGACAGTGACAAATATTAAACAAGCGGACAGATAAGCCAATAAGCACCAAAAATATTTTTATTTTCAACAGAAAAACCTGAGCATTCTTCGATTATTAATAGCTTCATTCACATTCATATTTATAAAGGAAGATAAAACCGTGCAATAAATAAAATATGTTTAGATTAACTTCGAGAGCGAACAGCGGAAAATTAAATCTCCGCAGCTCATAAAGTGATCTCGTTGAAGAAGCAAATCATAGACAAGCGACTCAATGAGTTGAATTATGTACACGAAATGAAATTGTGAAAACTCATTGAGCGTTGTTAAATGGAATGATTTACAATCACAATTTACAATCGACAATCTAATGTCACTGACTTAAATGAAGTTAAAGAATTGAAGATCAACAGTAAGCAAACTCTTTCCCACAACACAATCAACTTCTCTTCTTAATGTGTTAATTTCCAATCCCAAATCCATAAATCAAACTCAATTTCAAAATGACTTCATAAAGAAGAAGTTTAAGTCATTTCATTTCCAGTGACGTCACGTCACACAACGTCACATAGAACAAACAGCAAACAACAAACAACAAAGCTTACCTAAAATATCTTCAAAATAAACACAACGTACTTCGATTTGTCTCGGTCCTAGAGCGCTACGTTTAGTGGACGGATCATCGATGAAGATCGTTGATGTTTCAAGAGGTGGCATTGCAAGACGCGCCATAAGTTGCTGCGATAATCCTTCGATGTCTGCAAACATTCAAAAAAGAAAAAAAAAAATTTAAAGACTGACTTCAATTTAAACTGTCAAATAA